TGTGGTGTGGTTCTTATTTTTCATGTAATAGTATCCCATTTTAAATTGTCTGTTTACCTTTTTTCTTTGTCCCAAAATAAGTTGTTTGTTTCTTGTTATCGTAAATTTTTAATAATAAAATACCTAAATTACCTCTAAAATAAGTCACTATTTTCTATTTATCTTTTTATTCATCGTCACCCCTCCTAAATATGCCCCTAAATCAAAACGGATGAATTAATGCGGGATGGGGGAGGACTAAACTTTTCAATCCGAACATGATCTTAACCTACTTGTCCCGATCTTTAAAAGACTTGAACCTGACCTGACAAGTTGAGATTTAAAGTGGCTCGGGTTTAGTTTGGATATTGCCCATAACTTGACTTCAAATTTTCAAGTCATGAAAATAAATGTAAAATACTAGATGACTTTATTTTTTTCAAGGTTTTTATCAAATACTACCTCCTCCGTCTTGAAGTATTTGTCTATTTTTGATTTTGTTGGTCAGAATTGGTAAATTTTAACCCTAAATTAAATAAAAATGATATTAAATATTGATACAAAAATAATTTTATTAAATAAAATATTTTCTAAATATTATTTTATCTAATCAATATACAATAAAACGGTTGACGGTAAAAAGACAAAATTGGAAAAATACTCTGAGATGAAGGTGGTATTTTTTATCGACATGTTATTTAATATGCTCACTATTTTTTGTTGTTGAAAAAGAATAGAATATCATTAAGCTTAAATCAACATCTTCACAAAATTAGGTGGAGAGAGCTCCCACACTCTTTCTTGGTTGACTAAGAGCATTTCTAGCCAAAGTATGAGCCACCATGTTCAATGATCTACAAACAGAGCTAATTAGTCGAAACAAAATCAAATGATAATATAATGGAATGACAATCATCAATAAAGCACCCAAGGTATTGAATACCAATTTAATTTTTTTTGTACTCCCTCCCACCCCCACTTCACTCGGGTTTAGACTTTAGATATAATGAAATTAGATCGGGCTTGATCGGTTGATATCCCAAAAGGGTTATGGATGATGTGGATACCATGAAAATACACAGAATCTTTTGCATAAATAACCTTTTCGAGTATTTATCTTAGTGATTTTAAGAAAGACTTTTTTTTAAAAAAAAAACTATACTCCAAAATGAGGACATGTTTTTTGTCTGATTTGATTGATTTTAATTGATATTATTTAATTTGTTTTTAATAAGAATAGGTAATAAAAAATAAATTTATATGTTTAAAAACTAACTTAAGAACTTTTTTCAAAACTAGAAATCACAAGAATATTTTATTTTATTAAATAGTCAATGAAAACGTATAATTTAAAAAAATTCTTGTAATTTTTAAATAGGAAACTGTAATATTCTTTTTGAGACTGAAAAACTTGGGATCACAAATATAAACATGCGGAGTATTTTTTTTAGGATAAATTTTACTACGAAGTATTTTTTTTAATCATGCACATTACTTTCTTTTGAAATGTAATTTAACTTTAAAAATATCAAAATTAAACATAGCTAAATATTTGTTTTTTAAATGTCAAAAGTTTAATGCCTTAAAAGTTAAAACGGACACTTTAGAAAGTTTAGTACTCACCTAAAATTGAGTGGAAAAAAAAGAAAGTCAACGAAGACTAAGAAATCGGGTTTCACATTTGGGTACCCGTTTCAAATCTGGGCATTACATAACGGCTACTTCCGTTCCATTTCCCCTTCATCTTCTCAAAATTACTCTTCTGAAACTCTCTCCGGCAAGAAACTACAATACGATTTCGAATCTTTTCAACCTTGATTTTGCCATCACTACTCGCGATTTTCGATTTGGGCTTCAAGATTATTACTTTCTTTCTGGGATCAGTCGGAGAAGAAGATCGGAGATGTTGGCTGAGGAAATCCCGGCGAATTTTAGGGGTTTCTATACGCCGCCTCCCAAACGGAGTAGCTATCATTTTCCATCTCCGGCGACCCAGACGAGGCCTCCTCATCCCCACAGCGCCGGCTGCAAAGAGGAACTATTTCACGTCCTTCACAAAGTGCCCGCCGGCGACTCTCCCTATGTCCGGGCCAAACACGTTCAGGTAAATTTCTATAAAAAATTGAATCTTGAATTCTTTCAGTCACGTTTCTTTTCAGTTTCTACAACGAAATAGAATTATTGGAGTAATCGAATAATTCTGTTCTGATGAAACTGAGAAAATGGCAGCTCATAGAGAAGGATCCAAGCCGGGCCATTTCTTTGTTCTGGGCGGCCATTAATTCCGGCGACAAGGTGGACAGTGCCCTGAAGGATATGGCAGTTGTGATGAAGCAGTTGAACCGTTCCGATGAGGCTATTGAAGCCATCAAGTCTTTTCGCCATCTTAGCCCAGCACATTCCCAAGAGTCCATTGATAATATCTTGTTAGAGCTGTACAAGAAATCCGGCAGATTTGAGGATGAGATTAATCTTCTTGAACATAAGCTCAAGAACATTGAAGAAAGTATGGCTTTTGGTAGGAGGACGACTAAGATTGTTAGATCTCAAGGCAAAAAGACTGAAATCACACTTAACAAAGAATACTCCAGGTATTTATATATACATAAATATTCTACATTACCTTTTCAATTTCCTGCCCACTTGAAAATAATGATGATGATGGTGCTGATGATGATGATGAATTGATGACAATGATGATGATGATGATGAATTGATGATAATGATGATGATGATGATGAATTGATGATAATGATGGTGATGCTGATGAATTGATGATAATGATGATGATGATGATGATGATGATGATGCAGGTTGCTTGGTAATTTGGCATGGGCCTATATGCAAATAAATAACTTCAAGTTGGCTGAAGAGAACTACAGGTATGGTGCATAAAAGCTTCTTTTTTTCCCTTCCTTTGAGGTCAGTTAGAAAGTATTATGAGATTTGAACTTAGTCTATAAATATTCTTTTTCCAAATGAATGCAGAAAAGCTCTGTCCCTTGAACCAGACAAGAACAAGCAGTGCAACCTTGCAATCTGCTTGATGCACATGAACAATATTGCGGAGGCCAAGTTTCTGCTTCAATCCATCAGAGCTTCTTCGTCGCAGGACCGCGAAGAGATGAGCGACTCGTGCTGCAAGTCCCTTGACCGCGCCACGGAAATGCTCTCGGAACTAGAGCAAAAACCATCTGGCATTTGCTTGGGGAGAAAACATGGGTGTCCTGTTTCTGGTAGGGGAAGTCCAAGGACCTCGGCGTGGTCGTCTAGAGCCAGCAGAAGGCTGCATTTTGAGAAGCCCAACTTCAAGACAAGGTCTCATTTTCGCGATGGGAATTGGAGAAGGGACCCGAAATGCAATTTGCCCATTAGTCTGGATGCATCAGAAGCATCATCACCATCACCATCAACTTCTGGTTCAAGAAAATCTGGGTTCTTCCCTTCCACTGCTAAGGAGAAAATGCAGAAGAGTTGGGCTGATATAGTTGAAGAAGGAGGAGGAGGCAATGATGAAAATGAAGAGTTCTTGGTAACAGGAAGAGTTGAAACACTGGACATCAATGGTGGGTACTACACACAACCTGAAGAAATTACCAAACACCATTCCAAGTGCTTTGACACTTCTTTTGTTGGTGGCTCATCATCTGCTTGGCATAAGGAGCTAAACTTTGATGGTATGGACAGTTTGGCTCTTCCTCCTCAAATGCGCGATTTCGCGACTGCCACCGAAATGCCTCTTCGCAAGCTGAAGCAAAGGAACAATAACAGGCTGCAAGTGTTTCAGGACATAACTCCTTGATCAGTGACACTCTTCTTTTTAGGCTTTGTTTGATCATTTGTTGTGTGCAGATATAAAAAGACACAGTTGTAAATACCACCAGCTTTGATTGAAGCTGCAAGTTTGATTTCTGTTCTTGTTGTAGTCATAAAAAAGATATCTTTCTTTTTTTACTGGTGAATACTTAAGGAGGAATTTACGTAAATAGTATTAAAACATAATGACTTTCCCTAAATAGCACTATATGTGTTTTTTCCCAATGTAGTACTTTTAGTCATTATCCATTAGTCATTATTCAAATAAATATTTGTCATCACTGGTCATTATGGACATTAATAAATGCTATTTAGGGAATAAAACAATTTAAGTGCTATTTAGAGAAATGGCTTAAGTTTTAATGCTATTTAGTGCAAATATTTCATACTTAAGTATATATTCTGCAGTGAAAAAGGGATGAAATTAAGTGAGCAATTTGGGAGGCATCAAATATTTGTTCTTTATTTTCAAATTTGTCTCATACCTTATGGTGGATTAAATTGTCTAATGGAGTAATAGTAATGAACATATGCTTTAATTTCATTTCTTGCTTTTTTTTAAATATAGATATTAATATGCATCCGTATATCTTTATTGATTATTGAAGACAGTATGCTACACACACTCTCTTGTACTACACAAATGTTTAATAATTTTATTTAGGCTCAATATACACTTACTGAAATTTATTCCTCAAACGTTCGCCACAAATAGCAGATGAGACAGTTAAGAAAAGGACAAAGAGCGTATACTATATAATGAGATTTCTAATCAATTTACTATACTATATATCAAGTTGAATATAACAATCTATTTCGTGAGCGGAACAGTATTGGAATGAAATAAGTTTGATTTTTTTTTTTGAAAAAAAATGGTGGGAGTTGTATTTAATTAGGGTATTAAAGTGCAACTTGTCACAAATAAAATGTGGAGAGAAACATTCACCCTACGAGATGATAAGTTTGAGAAATATTTATTCACTCTATCAGTTCTTCCTTTAGGTGTTTGTACCTCATGCATTACATGTAGTACTATCTAAGTTGTCTATGACGGAGTAATAAACATATCCTTTGGTTTCTTTCACGTACAATTATACATTCACATATCTTTATTAACGGAAGACAATATATGCATCACTACACAAATGTGTATGGAGTGATAATTTTATTTGAGGTCATATACTATATAGCAAAATTTATAACCAAACGGAGTATATATCGATATGAATATAACAATCTGTTTGGGGAGTAAATAAACGATCTTTAAATATAATAAATACGATGAGGTCTATGTGCAAGATGTGACGGGATCTGTCAAAGGCGAAGGAGAGAGACAAAGAGAAAATTGCTTCAGGTTCTAAGAACGACGACGAAACGACGACGATTACAAAGAGGAGTTGCAGTCCTTATTCACTCGAATGACCGATTTTTTGGAGGTGAAAAGAGCTTCCATCAGAATTAAAAGCAAATCTTCAGATGGTGACCGACATGACGTTCTTAGGCACGAAATATGACGGTATGGACGAACGGTCGAACGTGATCTTGCCTTGATCGATACGATGAAGGAAAAAATATGAAAAGAATATGAGACCAAACGTGATCGTGCCTAGATTTTTTATATTTCATGTGTTTTTATTTCTACCACGTTTTTTCATGTTTTCCTTTCATGTGTTTTTTTCTTAATTTAAGTAATGCATGTGTGTACTTTTCTTTTATTCATATAATATATATGTTTTTTAATTAATGGTCTTTGTTTTGGTGCAATAATTTGTTATAATATAAAAAAAGGAAAAACATTAACAACGAAATAATAATAATAATAATAATGAAATAAATTTGTATTAATTTGTATTATTAATTTATAGATAATATAATTTAATTTGAATACAAACAGGTAATTATTTATAAAAAAATAGTAGTCTAATTATTGCCGTGGTGGTGAGACATTATATTACTCTCTTCGCAACCTAAGAGATCACACATTGGTATTCCCCAATTAGTATTAGTATTAGCATTAGAATTAAGATTAAGAGATTAAGATCAGACGTGAACTCTGGGTGCATAGAAGCGCGAGTCGAATACAAATATGTACTCTATCTAAGCTTTATTAATTGAAGACAATATAATAACATGTAGCACAGAGAGTACACAATTATTTAACAATTTTATTTAGGGCTAGATACAATATGTGGTCATATATGATCGAAGTATTATATATATATTTATTTATTGACTTTATTTTTATTGAATGGAGATTGTGTATATAATTAAAAAGCATGATTTGAAACTTATTAACTAATTGCAATGAATTAATTAAATATTAACATAGACGAGTATTATTGGAGTAGTAGAGGCGGCAACCACGGCTTGTACTAACACAACAATTTGTGCAGCCTGCTTCAGTCTTTTTTGGATTGGGTGGGCACTTTATATATGCCGCGTCTGGGTCGCAATTTCTAGGGCATCCCGCCGCCTGAGCATCCACATTTTTTCCCATTATAAATATGCCTGCATATATGCAAATATATATATATATATATATATATATATATATATAATTATACCGAGATCTAATGATCAAACCAACCATTGATCTAACTACAAAATTAAATCAATTGTAGTAGTAGTATATGCATATATAAAAATGCTAAGAGTCCACCACCGCTACTCCATCTAGAGATGAGAGTCACAAATAATTAATATTTACACAAAGTCACATATGATAATTGTCTCTTATCGATGATTATTGTCGTCTGTGTATCCGTGTATGTATAAATTATTTGTGATTGTACAAGTGATAGATTCTCCTATGCATATCAACATATGACCAGTGGCACGTTAGGTTTTTAGACAAAAATAATACCCCCGTCTTAAATTAAGTTATTTGTTTATTATAATCATATAGTTAAACTTTATTCACTTTTTTTTCTATTTTTGTTACTCATTCGATAAAGTAATATAGTTATGTCATTTCTTCTTGTGGAATTTTTGATTTAGTTTTTTAATATGTAAATTTTGTTTATTAAATGTTCTTCAATTTTCATATATAAATTATTTTAAACATAATTTAAGTCAAACAACATGTGATTTAAATGGAGATGATGGAGTATAGTACTCCGTATTTCTTATTTAAAGAGATACTTGCATACCTAATCGAAAAAAAGGTGAAACGCCTACTCCGGGCGTAAACCCATTTATGGTTTCTAAACTTGAAATGACATTTATGTCTTTTTTTCCTATCATGAACTTTTACTCTTTTATCTTTTTGCTTTTAATTTCCTTGTTTATATATATAAATAAAATAACATGTACGCTCTCCATCTAAAAAATTTCATATATTTATTTTTAAAAACAAAATAAATTTTTTTGGGAAACATTACAAAAAAAATAAAAATGAAATAAAAGAAAAAAGGATATTCAGAAAGAGGGAAAAATTAAAGAACTATCCTTTTCTTTAACTCTGTATTTTATTTCATTTTTCCATTCTCCATTTTTAAAATCCCAAAATAGTTTTTCTAATTTTGATTCTAATTTGTTTTAAACTTGAGACGGAGTGAGTTTATGTCATTTTTTATTTTATTTATTTCAATTTTACTTGAAATAAAAAGGTAGGTTTTTTCTTTTTCTTTCATTATATTTTTCTATTCTTTTTTCTTTTATTCCGTACGGAGTACTTTATTTCATTTTCCAACTTTTCATTTTCTTTTGTGACATTCTCCAAAAAAATTATTCTATTTTTAAATAAATAAATGATTGTTTTAAATTTGAGATGGAGAGCGTATAATCCGTATATGTTATTTTGATTATTTGTATAAACAAGAAAAATTAAAAATAAAAGAGATATACTTCATCATAGGGAAAAAGAAGGGTATAAATGTCATTTTAATTTGAAAATAGGTTAATTAAGGGGGCGTCTGCACCATTTAGAATATATATTATTTTACAAATAATTTTTGAAAAGAGAAGATTTTTGACACTCCTTTTGTAAACCTCACAGGGTACACATGATATTAGCCCTTAAAAATAAGTTTACATCTTTGCACTTTGTTGGATTACCTTTGTTAAAGTATCTCATATTGGAAATTAAAGAAAAAAATAATCGATATGTATATTAAGATCTTGAATTAAATTAAGTAATCAATTAAATTAAATATCTTATTAATGTGATTAATTCAATCTAAGTGTGATATATATATATATAGCTCTACCAAGTACGGAGTATCATTTTTCATATGTACGGACCAAATATGACTTACCACACAAAAGGAGGAAGATGAAGAAGCAAATTTTGTTGCACTGCGCCATGATTTCCAATATTTGTGGGATAAAAAATTATAATTCTCTTTTCTTGAAGGATTATATTGTGTTATTATTATTATTGTGTGCTGCATGCTGTTATTTATAGCAGCACAAAGAATGAAATAGTTGGAAATTAGGGAGAGGAAAAAAATTAAAAATAAAAAGAGAAGAAGAAGAAGACAGATGGAAACGTACTGCAACATGGAGATGATAAGGATGAACCATAACTAATTTTTTGTCATCATCCAGCCAAAATTGACTAGTGAATTATATTGACCGTGGATATCATTTGACTTTTTTATTAGCTTCTCAAATTGATTTTTTCTTTTACCAAACTTAAGGATGAACCATAAGTAAGCTTTGTACCAAACCTATTTACAAGCATTTTTTGGGACGGATGGATTACAAAATTAAAATCTTTCGCCATTCTTATTTCTTAGTACTCCTTTGTGGGCCCGTCTTGAAATTGGTTTCTCCTTCGCGAGCCTGCCACATGATTATTTTCATTTATGTGGATAAACTTTAAAGGTTTGTTCCTTTCACTTGATCTGATTGTATCTAATTTGATATTTTTTCTATGTTATACTCCCTCCGTCCCAAATATTCTTTCCCCCTTTTTGTTCTTGTACCACAAAGTCCTTTCCTTTTATACTAAAAAACCACTTTTAATCAAACTAATTCTTAACCTAGCTATACATACCTTTTTATTAATAATCTATCCATCACATCCTACTCTTACCCATCACATTAAGAGTATTTTTGGATAGTCAACACAAAAATATATCCTGCTAAAATTTCATAAAAATCAAAATAGAAACATCTTTATGACACGGAGGAAGTATTATAATATAGTTTTCAAGTTTTTTCTTATACTTGAAATTACTCTAACTTTATTACTACAATTTATTTCAAATGTGATGTTTTTATTTTTTAACACAATTTTTTTGAAATAGTCCAATTCAAAATAAGAAAAAAAATAATATGAAAAATATGAAAAAAAGCAAATAATACTTTTATATCTGCATCTAATGCATTTCAAATTGATGAACCAATACTAGACTAAGACACTCTCGGTTCTCTATCACTAACTTCGTAAATTATGATAAATTACATGACAAGTAACGTGGTTTTCCAAGTGCCATTACTACTACTAAAGTGCCTACCTCTTTCTGGGCTGCTGTTCACCACACTACATGGCATTTAGCCATACAACAAGAAATTGAAGCATTGGAGAATAATCACACTTAAGATCAGATATCATCAATCTTTCACTAGATTGCATACTTTGAGTTACTGATCGGTGTTTCGATGATTCTAAGAAGCCAGACAATGCACAATTAGTTGTTCTTGGCAACTACCAAGAGAGGGGCACTGATTTGATAGACATCTTTGCCCCGGTTGCAAAAATGGGGACTGCACACATTCTTTTATCGATTGATGTGGGTAAAAACTAGGGAAGTTTACCAACTTGATCTGGACACTACTATTTTTCATGATTCCCTCAGGAGGAAGTCTATACAAAGGTACCCCGAGTATTCTTATCTTAACCCATTTAAGGTGTGTCACTTACGATAGTCTCTTTACAGATTGTGATAGTCACCCCACAAATGGTTTGAGAAGTTAACCACTGCTATGTGTCAATATGGTTTCAAACAGGCACACAAGGACCACACTTTGTTCTGTTTCAGCGTGGGCCTAATACCTTGGCAATCTTGGTTTAGGTTGACAATATTCTTATTTTTAAGTAATAACCCCACTTTGTGCTCATCTTTCAAACGATATCCGACAACTGTAGGCTGCTTCACCTAGTACCACGATGCTTATATTCCTCTCACATAACCTCGTTTTCATGGTTTAGGATGCTCCCATTTTGCTTTCCGCTACTAATGAAGTTGCTTTTGCTTTCTTTTCATATGAAGAATCTAGATCCCTTGAAATATTTTCTTGAAATTGAATGTGCTCGATCGTGTACTGGGATGGTGTTTGCCATGCAAATATGCTTGACCATAAGTGTAGGGATGTTACTTGTAAGCCCTATAGCACCTCGATCCCCGCCCTGGCCATAAGTGTCCGCTCATAGGATTGTAGACTGGCCTCACAAACTAACACAAGTCTTTCCCACACAATTTATCCTCACTCGTGCGTCTAGGGACATTCTATAGGGGTCACCCATCGTAAATAGTGATAACCAGTCGGTATTGTTTAGTGCAGCTAATCTAGTGTTCCATGCGTGAAAGAATCATATTGATATTGATTTTCATATTTCTCGGGAATGTGTTCAACATAGAGAAGTCTCGACTCATTATGTTTCCACTTGTCTACAATTTGTCGATTTATTTACCAAATCCTTATCCAAGCCTACTTTTAAGTTTTATTGTTCAAGTTGGACATTCAGGGCAGTCATGCACCAATCCGAGGGGAGTGCTAACGAGTATTTAACTGCAGATGGGCTTAGGATTTGCAAATGGCCGGGATTGTGTTTAGTTCTCTCTTGTAATCATCTATATATCGTGTTGTTGATTATGAAGACAATGATATGCAACACACACTACACACAAAACATTTAGTAATTTTATTTAGGATCACATCTAATCGGAGTATATATATACATTATTATACTTATTGTTGAGTATATTTTATTGGATGGGTATATATGGCCTGTTCGAAAATAGCGTTAGGGATTAACGTAAGCGTTTTGAAAAAGCTATCTACGATCATCGTAGACATACTCGCACGGTATGTAACGCTAACACTAATCTCTAACGTTAATATTTCAAACCGGACGCATAATAACATACTCGGTAACACACACACTTAATAGGAACAATAGATTGAAAGTACTAATTAATTATAGAAATTAATTAGCAATAAGTGGTGCACAAAGACGGCGATCATTAGAGTCATAGAGCTGGCAACCGCGTTTTCGGCTCACACAGCAATTGGTGCAGCCGCCTGAGCCTATTTTTGTCTTTTTCTTGTCTGGGAGGCAGCGAATATACACCGCCTTGGTGTTGCATTCTAGAGTGCAAATCGTCTCGGCATTTCCATTTTTACCCTCTAGAATCATACCTGCCACACACACATATTGTTCTATTAGCGGTGGGTACTTTTGTAAATGAGATTAAATTTAGTTTATACTCCGTAACATATTATCTTGTCCCTGAATATTCGTTCATTTTTTACTTCTTACAAATAGTTATTTTTATATCTTTGACCTTAAATTGTTCTCCTTCCGTACCAAAATGTTGGCCATATTTGCTTTTCAACAATCACGGTAACTTTTGTTTATTTATAGATTTTCAATGATTATTTAATAAAATATAATATTCTTATTTCGAAGAATTTTCATGTAGTTTTTAAATGTGTAATTTTTTTATTTCTATACCAATATTTAAATAGAATGAACTTATCGAAAAAAACTTAATATTTTTCCTCGTTTTTTGAAATGTGGTAAACATTTAGGGACGGTGGGAGTATTAAATTTATAAAATGTATTGACTAGATAAAAAAAATATTTTGAAAATACTGTATAAAACAATTGTAATATAATACTCCATCCGTCCAAAAATTATCTTCTCGTTGCGTGTTATGATGTTTGATTGAAGTTATTATCAAATCATTTTAAACACACACACACACACAAATATATATATATATATATATATATATATATATATATATATATATATATAAACAAGGTCGAAATTCAATTTCTCCCAAAAAATATGAACATCTTCTTCTAATTTTGATTATATTATTATGATATAATAGTACTTAATAATTTTTTAATCCAAACAAATATTGTTTTAAAATAAAATTTGAGGAGCAACATAATTAAGGCCAGACTGATATATAATATATGACTTACCACACACAAGGAGGAGGATGAAGAAGCCAATTTTGTTGGACAAGGCCATGATTTCCAATATATGAAATTTGTGAGATGAAAACTATAATTTTCTTTTCTTAAAGGATTTATTGTGTTACCATTCTGAGCTGCTGCATGCTGTTATTTATAGCTCAAAGAGTTCAAAATGGGAAATATTAATACTATTTCCGTCTATTCGTCCAATTTGTTAATTAATTGAACAAATTTTAAGCTTCAATTAAATAAAAATTATGATGTACATTAATACAAAAATGATTTAATTAGAACTAACTTGTTTTGAACTTTCAAAATTTAATTTTATATATTGTATTATTATGTAATGCAAATTAAGAGTAACTAATAATTAAAGTTTGTCTAGTAATAAATTTAACAAAAGAATTGAGAAGAAGATGGAAACATACTTACGTATGATATGATGATAAGGATTATGGACTATACCTAATCTTTTGTCACCATCAAGCCAAATTGACTAAAGGTCTCCTTATTGATCAAATGTAGTTCGAAATTTACTTGGCATCTATTTTAAAAAAAAATGTTCACGTGCAAAAAAAGGATATACACTGATACACATTATATTACAAAAATATAAAAGCGTTCACAAGACTACAAACACAAACTTGACAAATTAGGAGTACTTTTTAATAGGCTAAATTCCACCGTTAGTCCATACATTCAAGTTATTGCGTCATGTACGTTAGTCCTTCAACTTTGAAAATTTCATGTAAAACTTTTCAAGTCATGTTAACGGTTCATATTTGGTCCTTCAATTTTGAAAATTTCACGAATGGTCATTCAGGTCACTTTAGGTTGCATGATTGGTCTTTCTTTTAATTTTGTCGTGAGTCCATGCATTTTTTTTTATATTTTTTCAATTTTAAATGCATGTGAGAAACTTTTTCTTCTTCATATAATTGAACCATATTTAATATAGGTCTATTTTTAATAATAATAGTTATTGTTACTTTAATTACTCCAATTTTTTTAAATAAAATAAGTTACTTTTGCTTTTATTAGTTTAATTTTATTAAAAAAATATCACTCTGCCTTAAAGCTTTTATCAAATTTTGACGGTTAATTTTATACTCCGTAGTTAAGTAGTTTTATTTTTTACCAATATTTTAATTAAAATCAATATACAAAACGTATGATCAACTCAAATGTATGAATAAAAGAAAGTTCCTCGCGTATATTTATAATGAAAAATGAAAAAAAACAATGCATTGGGTAACAACAAAATTAGCAGATGGACCAACCCCCCAACACTAACGTGACTTGAAGGATTATCAATAGAATTTTTAAAGTTGAAGGACTGACCATGCAATGCTAACATTACTTGAAACACTATTTGTGGAATTTTCAAAATTGAAGAACTAACCGTGTATAATGCAATAACTTAAAAGACCAACACTAGAATTTAACCTTTTTAATAATATGAAAAAGGGATATTTAAAGTCAACTGAAGAATAAATAACACGAACCACGTAATTTTTAGTTATAATTGAAATTTAAAGAAAGATAATTCCATCACAAATTCACAATAAAAATGTCATTGACGCGTGGGTTAAGTGAAAAGGATTGAAATATAGAATTATGTCATAATTATGTCATGTCATGTATTATAGATTTTAATTATATATTTATTAAATTTTTTTACATAAATTTTAAAACAGAATTAAAATTAAAAATAATTTTAGATAAGTATCGTAATTAATTTGATTTGTCAACGATTGTTTAGGATGGAGTACATACCGTTTAATTTTAATTTAAGTTATATTTGAGTTTATGTATTATTAAATTTACCAAATAAGTTTGTCATAGATTGTGTTTTGTAATCTTCTTTTTAGAAATAAATTATATGTACTCTATCAATAAATTTCATATATTTTTTCTTATTTTAATTTTGTTGTATAAAATTTACTTAAAGTCAATAAATAGTAGTTTTATTATTAAATTTTATTATAGTATATTTTATTTAATGATAAAGAAAATTATCAAAAAAAATTATGAACAAAAATATTTTAATAATAAAGAAAAATATTTTAATTTTAAATTTTATAATTTATTTATAAGTAAAAAAAAAATTATTTGAACAAAAAAGGGAAGGTGATTTAAAATGATAAAGAAAACTATATAAAAAAGGTAAACGGATTAGCCAACTTTGTTGGCAAAAAAATTGGTAAACGCATTACCAATCTCGTTGGAAAACTATCCAAAATAGAAATAAAAAATAGTGAAACGGATTTGCCAACTCCGTTTGGCAATTAAATCAAGCAAACAGATTAGGCTACTCCGTTTTATTTAAAATTTTCGAATAGAAACGGAATAGCCAAATCCGTCAAGAAAAAAATGTCTGACTTCTGTCAGGAATGAATTATTTTTTTTACATATGTTCGTCATTTCCTCCAATTTGACAAGTTATAAGATAAAGAATATAGGACTATAGGAGTACTCATTGGATGGACAAATAAAATAAAAAATATCTGAAAAAGAGTATTTTTTTTAACTCGGAATTACTCGTTGTACAATTAAAAGAGTAAAGAATACGTGCTGAACAATCTTTTTCTTTAGTATTAAAAAATTTTAATAACTTATAAACTTAATACGAAGTATTCCGTAATAAATATACTTTTCACATGTACCCATGCCAACATCATTAAGGCCCCGTTTGATATAAGGAATTGGTAGAATTGGAATTAAAATTTCATGAGATTTAATTGATAGAATTAAATTCTATCAATTCTAATTCATTTTTTGCACTATCAATTTCAAATCCAAATAATTTTTGTGCTACCAAACACCAGAATTGGAATTGAAATCCACAATTCCAATTTCATAGTTTGAATTCCATATACCAAACGGGACCTAAAAACTTTCTTTGAATTTGTAAACTTACTATGGAAAATGAAACTTTAAACCATTTGGTTTTACTGTGAAGGGCCTCAGAAATGGTCCAACATGGAAAATAGTTGTTAGAGCTCATTGTTATAATATACCTATTACAACGGAGGAGAAGACGAACGGTCTCGGAAATAATATTAAATAAATTTTGAATTTATAATTTATTTAGAGTATTATAAAATAAACAAAACTGGAAATAAATTTCTGGATCTTCAGAAGGTCTTGCTGTACTAGGACATTATGTACTAGACTGCAAGGAAATTATATATTTCCATTGAAGCAGTAAGCCTGAGATGAGGATACTGTGAGCAGTGGCGAGGTCGCTGGAACAACAGCGAGGACAATATGGCTAGACCAGAATACCATCAAGGACACTACGACCTGTGGCAGAATCCAGCGAAGTCACTATGAATTGAACCTGTAAAAACCAAACACCGTAGAAGGACTGTGGAGCCGTCAAAGCTGTCCTTAAAGGTATTAGTGTCCGTCTACTGTACTGGAAATGGATTTATGATTTGCAAATGGGCTGTTGTATATTCAAACACCGTAGAAGGACACCGGAGTAGCGGACTCATTATGTTCCCATTCGTCTACAAGTTGCCGATTTATTTACCAAAGTGTTATCTAAGCCTCCTTTAAAATTTTGGTTGTTCAAGTTGGGCATTGAGGACAGGCATACACCAATTTGAGGGGAGAAGATGGTTCTGCACCGATAGGTTTAACAAAAAATTAAGAAGAAGATGGAAACATATTTACATATGATATGATAAGGATTATAGACAATACCTAATGTTTTGTCACCATCAAGCCAAATTGACAGGGCCGTCTCCGAGAAATCGGGGGCCCTGTACGACATAAAGAAATATGAGTCATTGTGTCATAATAAAATAAATTTTCTCAATTAGTGTATTTAACAAAATTAATATTATAATAATAAAAAATATAAATTGTCAAATTTATAGTCTTATAAAATTAAAATTGCTTATATTAATAGCTAACTAAAGATTCTTGAAGTTTTCTAGCATTCTTGAGAGCATTATTGTAATAAAAATACGGAGTAATAAAATGTCAAAGTCAAATTTTCAAATAATCAAATCCACACACAAAATTAGTAATCTTAAATAAAATTAATTATACATACAATCTAATTCATTTCAAAGTGAAAATCATAAATCAATATGAAATCAACTAATCTAATTTATGAAATTATAAAATTTGAAATTATTTATTTACTCCAATTGGGCAATTGATTACACTAAAATTTGTAGAGTAAGCTAGAATTATGAAAAATATTCTAAAATCATGATTCATGAACATGATAAGAGGTTAATAAAATCAATTGCTAATCACCTAATTAGAGTAATTTTTGAAAGAGATTTTTTTAGGCAAAATTCACATGAATACCCCCAGAAATTTCAGTTTTTACATAAATACTCCCAAATTTGTTTATTTACATAGTTACTCCCACATTTGTCTGTTATTTACGTCATTACTCCGCGATTGCTTCATCATCAGTGTTCCTCGGATGCGTCTTTTTAAACGGGGTTCTTCATCGTTTTTTTATTGAATTCAAATTAAATTAATATGAACACACTTGATATTAAACATTAAAAACATTTAGGAAGTTTGAAATCTAATTTTTTTTTAAAAAGTGATGGAAATAAGGGCAATGATTAGGCTTACTAAGACGTGAGAAAGTCGATGGAGAGAATAATTTGAGGTGAATTTGTTATATTATAGTGAAAAAAATACATATCTGCATTTTAACTGCTCACTTA